ACACATAGATACGTACAACAAACACTGAAGAAAATTCCAAAAGAGGCCTCAAGAGACGGCCGAGGTGCCTTCGATCAGCGACCACTCGAGAGCCTCTGAACTCTCTACCAGGTCTCCTGAGCTCGGACTTCGGGGTTATTAGATGCTTCAGGATGACGGGTTTAGGATTAAAGGGTTTTTTCCCAAAGAGTGAGGAGTCAGCCACATCATTTCCAATGGTTTTTTTTGTTGCACACCTTTCTCCACCTTGCGGTTCTCGTCGGTAGAATCGACATGTTGTCGAAGGCTCAAAACCAAACCCAAGGGTTTAGGGTTTAGGTCTGGGCTCAAGGTTTCGGGGGTTTAGGGTTTGGGGGTTTCAGGCTCCACACTTGCCGTGGAAGAGCGAGTGCATCGCACTGGAGCAATCGCTGCCGAACGCCCTCCAAAGCTGACACACCACCTACACGGTTTAGGGTTTAGGGTTTCGGCGTTTAGGGTTTATATTCCTCTCAAGGTTTAGGCCTGAACTTAGAACGCTTTCTGAATCCTACCCCTAAAGCTCCCTGTAGAGGAATCTCTGGAGATCCCCAGAAAAGGAACCTGTGCGCATTTCCAACCAAAGCCCATAATGCCCGGGAAGGCCCCGAAAAAAGCCCAAAAGCCCCGGCCACAAATCAAAAGCCCACACAAAACCCTTTCTGTGGAACAGCAACCCCAACCCCAAGGATCAACCCGAAGCTTTGCCCAAGCCCCGAAATCCCTGAAGCCCAGCTCGAAAGCCTCACGGATTTAGGGTCTTGGGCCCTACCTAACAAACCTCTCACTCCAAACCTTAAGCCTTGAGCTCCAACCTCCGAACCCAACTCCTGAGCCAGTAGCTAAAACTGACGAGGGTCTTCGGGACATCGTAGTCTAACCAAAACTTGAACCCGGCCTGGCTATGACTTAAGACATAGCGAGATATGGACAAACCCAACCTACACCCTAAATGGCCTTGAACCCTGTGCTGAAAAAGCAGCCCTAACCCCAAGCCCTTTAGGAACCCTTTTGAAACCGGACTTGATGACTGCCAGCACTGCCCTCCGCTGCTCTTCAGCTGAGGCCCGAAAACCGTAACACCGCATCATTCCACTCCGAAGGGCAAGCACTCCAAGTAACGACCACCGAATGTCGATGCCACATCTCCCTGATTACACGCGGAATGTCCCAGAGCACACAATCCTGAATGTCCTGATGCACCTGCACGTCAATGTTAAAGACCCTTAGGAACCCTAAACCCTTAACCCCAACCCTAGCGTAGCACTCGAGCTGGAAATCCGTTGAAGGAAACCGCAAAGCGGATAACTGACTTTCGTACCTGATACAGATAGATATATGTCTATATGTATACGTTTGTATATATGTATATACACACACATATGTGTATGCATGTGGTGTTCATGTATTTTATTTGCTTCTATCCATGTTCATTGCCACTGTGCGTGAAGTACAGAATGATACCTACAGTTGATGATATACATCCTGCATTACCCACAATGAGGAATATACCATCATTCCCATAGTTTAGGGTCCTTAAGGTAATGCAGGATTCATATCATCAACCGTGCACCCTAAACCCCAAACCCTACTAAACCCAAGACCCTATAGAGCCCTCAGAGGAACCCCTTAAAGGTACCCTTATAGATCCCTTGAAAGGAGCCCTAGGATTTATATCATCAAAAATACAAACACTGGGCCGACTGGGCTCCCACCAGCGCCCAGGATCCCAGGCTCGGGCTCGCGCAAGAGCCCTGGCTCAGGCTCCGGGAATTACTTGGAGGTGCATGGGTCCCTTTTAAAGGGATCTATAGGGATTCTATAAGGGTATAGGGTTTAGGGCCTTCTTGGACGTTCATGGGTAGTTATAAGTAGGGCTCCTTCAAGGGCTCTTTAGGGTTTAGGATATAGGATTATAGGGTTTAGGCTTTAGAGGTAGTTATAAGTAGGGTTATAAGTAGGGTAACTATACTTAAAACCCATATTAGGGAACTTATAACCCTATTTTAACTACCCATGAACCTCCAAGTAGAGGGCCAGAGAACCTGGTGCTTACACACGTATGCAGATACATGTACGCAGACATATGCACATACACATACAGATACGCATACGGACACATACACATACACAGACATATGATGTACATATGTATATATGTATCTATGTATAGATGTATATAAATATATATATATATATATATGTAGATATTTGTGTATACATATATATATATATATATGTATGTATATATATATATGTGTGTATATGTATATATGTACATATGTATATACATATATGTGTGTATGTATGTATGTATGTATGTATGTATGTATGTATGTATGTATGTATGTATGTATGATGTATGTCTGCATATAGAGACAAGTATATGTATATATGGATGTGGATCTGGATATGGATCTGGGTGTAGACAAAGATATGGATATAGATAATACGGATATAGATATAAGAGTAAACAGATATAGACAGAGATAGGTATAGGTATAGGTATAGATGCACATGCAAGTATGGACATGAATATGGACATGGGTATGGATATGGTTGCGGGCATAGATGCAGATATAGATACAGGTATAGATGATACAGGTATAGACGGTATAGATACAGGTATAGATGTAGATGTAGATACGGATTTCGATATAGCCAGACTGGAGCCAGTGCCAGAATGCTTCTTATTAAGTGCTGGCAATCGTAAGTCTTGTTACAATAAACCTTGTGGATATAAACCCTTTTGAACACTAACGTTACTAATAGCATTGTGGCTCGTTGGGAGGGTCCGGCCTCCTCGTGCTGCCCCTCGCTCTCTGAGGGCGAATCCATTTCCACCGCCCAATCCTGCGAGCCACAGAGTCTTCGCAAGGTCTCGGGATTAGAATATAGGGCTTTGAGGCTTGAGGTTTCTGCAGGGTTTAGGGTTTAAGCTTCGGGGTCGAAGATTCTTGGGAAGGCCATCGCATAGCAGAGAAGTGCGGAGATTTGCGCACAGGATGTCAACCGGATCGGCCGATTCGAAACGGAGAGGCTCTCAGCATTAGCAGTGGATTTCACTGCCATTCACACAAATGGAAACACACAGCTCCAAGCTGTCTCTCCCAGTCCCTCTAAACAGCAGATCACCCTGGCTTGCCATTGGATTCGTGCGAGCACTCACCGCAGCAACCGAAGTCACATTATGCGGCCGGCTGAGTTTCCCTGCTTTAGAAGTGACAGCCGGCCGTGACAGAGTGGCATTCTGGCTCTCGAAACCACTGAACATCGCACTGAAAGAGCTTTGTCTGAGCAACCATGCGAGCCCGAAACCCCCCGCGGAATCCTAGACCCCATCCAAAGGCCTCCAAGGACATACCTGGGCTCATCACAAGCTTCTTGCGGTGGCGGGCGGGGCAGCATCCACTTGAGCCAAAAGGTCTTGGAGCGGGGAGGGCCGCGGATGTGAGTCGACTTCGGGCTTAGGATAGGGTATTGTGGTAGATTATATACTATAATCCTAATAAGGAACCCCCACAATCCTAAGAAGGAACCCCCACAATAGTATAAGGAATTATAAGATCTTCCAAGTTTCGACGGCTGTTTGGTTCTGACTCAGGAACGCGAACACTCACAAAGTAACTGTATGTGGTCGACTCCTCAACAGTCTTCTTGGGTCTTGACATTTTCTTGCGACCATTGTCGGCTTCCTGCTTCCCTAAACCCTAAACCCCAAACCCCAAGCCCTCAACCCCCAAACCCCCATACCCTAAACCCACTAAACCGCTAAACCCTAAACCCCCTAAACCCCTAACCCCTAAACCCCTAATTTACATTGTGAACAAGAAACCAACCAAAACAGAGGCGGGTGGTGGCTCCAAGCTAGGGCTAAAGGGTTTTGGGGTTTTGGGTTTTCAGCACTCACTCTCGGACGAACCACAGGGTTTGGGGTTTTAGGACTTGGCACGTCTGGCGACCCAAGGTTTTCGGGTGTATTTAAGGCTTCAAGGGTTCTTCTTGAGATACTTGGAGGTTCGTGGGTAGTTATAAGTTATAAGTGGGTTACAAGTCCCCTAATATGGGTTATAAGTTTATAGCTACCATACTTGTAACCCTGCTCATAACTACCCATGAACCTCCAAGCATGGTTGGGAAAGGAGGAGGCCTGGAGCTACCAGGAGCATCTCAAAACGGCCCTCACTTAGAGCCCCAAAAGCCAAGCATCCCTGAGCTCTTGTTGAACGTGGTCTCTCTGAAGTGCCTCCTGCAGTATGGTCTAAGTCCCTAAACCCTAAACCCACAGACTTAGGGCATTTAGGGGAGAAAACCCACGAAAACCGAAACCCTGCGCCACAAGACTCCGTCCTCACTGCCCTGCCCGGCTGCCCCGACCCTCAAGGGTTTACCAGGGTTTAAGCTCTGTACGGTTTAAGGTTTTGTCGGGGTTGAGGATTCGGGGTTCTTTTAGGATCCAGGGCTCAGAAACTCCTAGCTGCGCAAGGTTTCTGAGGCACTGCATCTTGAGATGGACCACCACCCAGTCTGATTTGAGAAACCCCCTTTGTGAAGCTCGCTTATGAAGGGCCTCAATCCTACTTTAAGCCCAATTTGCTTTGTTTTTCTGCAGCCTCAAAATCTCCAAGAATTCATACTCTCTAAAGAATGTGTATAATGAAATAACTAAATATATATATATAGAGAGAGAGAGATATACATATATTATGTGGACCTAGAGAAACCCTGTCCGAACTGTTGTTTCTCTTTCATGTAGAGCCCTTGTGAAAATCATTGGGGGACCCTTTGCTGCAGATTTGGGCCACTCCGTCGGTCGGATTCTCTCTAAGGCGACTTCGGTGATTAGGGTGTTGAGGGTCCCCTGTATGTAACATACACACCTACATCTGCGAGATGTGGCCATGGCAAGAGCCGCTAGAAGTAGAGCTACTCGGCACATCAACGGCATAGCTCCGAAGGCCGAAACCTTGCAGATGGCACACCCAGCCATGTTCCGTGGTGATGAAGAAGTACTTGCGCTCGTCCCTGGGATCTACCCACCTCGGGCCAGCGTGGGTGTTACTAACGAACAGACCTAACCCCGAAAGCCACAACGTTTTCAACATGGCACCAAAGCTCGGAGGAAAGTTTGGCTTCGAAGCAGTTCCAGGCTCAGCTTCTGTGGGCACGCCGACGGCTGAGCTGGGGGGCCAACTCCTCCTCGGCCATGAAGACAGCACCGGGCATCAAGTACGTCTTCACCTCAGTCTGCTGTAGGGCACGTCGGCTGCCTCATCATATCACCAACAACCACGGGCATCAGCAGGTTAAGCAGCAACCATCGTCACCAATATCATCACAAACATCACGATCGACAATATCATCCTTAGCCTCACCGCCGGTATCAAAGACACTGTTAAGCAGCAAACGTACTATCGTCATGGTGATGAAAAAAGAAGACGGAACATCGTAGCTGCAACAGTCACAGTAGAAGAGTAGTAGAAGTCGTCATCACAGTCGTCGTCGTCGTAGCAGCAGGAGCAGTAGCAGCAGTAGTGGTGGTGGTAGACACGGCCGTAGTGATGGCGGTACAAGTCATCGTCATCATATTGGTCGTCGACGTCGTGGTGTCTCCTACTCGCCTTGCTCTCTTGATGTGCACTGCAGTTCTTCTCACTACCGTCTTTGTTCTTGCGCTTGTGGTGGCCACGGTTGCGGTGACGGTACCAGTTACTAGTTGTCCCATCTACCCATCCGCCGTGCTACGCACAGACACTGATAAAGATGCACATGCCCGTTAACCGAGTGTACAGCCGAATTTTGCAACTGGGCTTGGGCAGCAAGTCTAAACCCTAGATCCTAAGCCCACACCCTGAAACCAATAAAAAGCCCTTGTGCCCATGCCATTTCCCCCATTTTCCCTTCGTATATCTCAGAAGAAGCCTCGGCTTCGATTTCCGGCTTTGAGAGGATACCAACCTGTCCAAGGGAGCTAGCAGCTGGACCAATGTCTAAGGATTAGGGTTTCGGATTGTTTTTCCCAGGGGTTGGGGTTCGGGTTTCGGGTTTAGGGGTCTTCTGGACGCCTGGGGCTTTGAAGTCGCGCATCTTGGACTTTCCAGGGGAGGCTGCTGAGGGGTTTTAGGGCTTCGAGATGCTTCGAGCTTGGAGTTCGCTCTGATGCACTGCTGCCTGCCCACCTTGTAGGGTTTAGGGTTTCGGCGCTCACACTCGGACAATCCAGGCGAGGCATATGGTTCGGAGTCTGACAATGTGAAACGGTCTAAGGGAGACAGTCAATGACGGGCATCAACAGCCGAGGCTCAGAACAACAAAGTAACTGTAGTCTGCGAGAGTGCACCCACCCAAGATCCTACAATGTTAAGCAGTTACAGGCTACAGGCCAGTAGGACCTCGGGTATCATGTAGTAGCAGATCACTTTGAGGGGCATACTGGGTGAAACATTATGAAGAGGAATCAAATTAACCAGACTAGAAGCCGGGGTGGCTCAGGTGTGAGTTATCTGATGGAATCATTTGTACAATGATCCCCTGTCAGCTTATTACCGAGGGATCTGAAAACTAACTACTTGCATTCAAGGATTGTGAAACTGCGGACTGTGTGGAGCTACTTGTTAACTACCTGAATGGACACATGTGAATCGCTGGGGCATGCGCTTGTCGGTACACGGCAGGACTCGGAATCCTAAGATGTAAACGTCAACATTTTCTTGGTTTTGCCTTTAAAGCATGGCTCTGCCCCGCTTTGGGTGGCCTCTCTTTCTTTCTGACTGCTGCTCCCTCCCTGCTCCTGCCCTAAACCCTGAACCCTGAACCCTAAACCGCCTAAACCCCAAGCCCTAAGCCCTGAACTCCTAAACCCTCAACCCCAAGCCCTAAACCCTCAACCCTAAGCCCTAAGCAAGCACGAGTCCATTCCAGGCACCCAAGAGCTGAAACCCGCAAGGTCCCCCCCAGGTCAAGGCTTGGCTTCAGCACAGAATCTCCCGCTGCAACTTTAAAACTTACCTGGACCCTAAGAGAGCTACCTTTTGAGGGTTCCTTCATGTGATTTCCTTATCTAAGTCCTGAAAAAGGTAGGGTTAAGGTAAAGCTTAAAGGATCGTACCTCTGGCAAGTAAAATCGAACCTTCTCCAACCCCATGCAACCCCTCAGAGATCGGAGCGGCGCATAACAAACTGAACATAAGAATAGGAGCGACACGACTACAATAGCTACAGCGAAGTTACGACTACTCAAAGGGGCAGCACAGCCAGTGAGTGCCATGACTTCTCCGCTGGCCTTGTTCTTAGAGGTGACCTTGAACTTTTTGGCCTGGCATCAAACTGAAGCAAAATGAAGCAAGGTATCTGCTGAGCATTTCCGCAGTACACAGCCGAGATGGCGACGAATTACGAAAGCACACTTGGACAGCTGGGTGCAGCCCTCTTGCGTGCCCTCGTGGCGCTATCGAACTTGCGGAAACAACTCCAATGATTGCGACCATGGCTTGCGACCTTCTCTTCGGCCGGTCCTGCTTTCCGTTTACCTTGGGTGCCACTGTCATCGGCTGGCTTTCCGTTCGCGACCCATGCCGAAAAGAGTTGTTCCCGGAACAAGCCCTCAACTCTACCCCACGACACAACAATCTCAAACAGGACTGCATACCAGTCCTAAACCCTAAACCCTAAACCCAGTCTCCAAGTGGCTGCCATGGCTGCCAACACAAAAGTCTAAGGATGCCACGCGGTGCCGCTTTCCGTTTGGGCTTGATGGGCTCCTTCACAAACGCTTCCGACTGAAGGACCCCGGAAATCGCTGCAATTCAGGTTCCGGTGGTTTCGACGCACATCATCCTGCAGTGTTGTGTTGCAGTGCTGCATTTGGTGGGTCACTTTTGGTTTGACACAGAACAACTCAGTTCAACGAAAACGCTAAATAAATGCTCCTTGCCGGAGTTCTGTTGCTCAGCATGTCGGGATTGCTAGCTGGCACCGATCCGACCCCCTCCCAATTCGAATGACCTAATGACCTTCGTGCTTATGACATAACCCACTCAGCATCACAAGGGTAGAACTAGCCTACACCTCGGATGTGGAAACGGGCACAGATGGCGTCGATGCCAAAACAGAACGGCTGTACACCGATCAGGCTCGGACCGTTCCATCAAGTGGGACGGGCGGCTTGCCTCAAACTGCTGATAGGGTTTAGGGTTTAGGGTCACTATGGCGAAACACGGAACAACTTTCGGATGGCTCACAATACGCGGTATCTTCAGAAAATGCACTGATGCGGGCCACATCTGAGGGACAGGCGAGGAGCGGATTTCCGTTTGGGCTTGGCTTCTACCTGACGAACATATGCAGAACGCCGGCTGCGTGGCTAAGCAAGAAGCATCAAAAAGGAATACAACTCAGAAAAACTGCATCTCAATCTGCGTGCCCAGAAAGAAATGCGCAAGACAGGGATGCCACCTTTCTGGACCGAATCCAGACGTCTCCATCTGTGAACCTGGTTCAACATCCTACGCCGCCTACGCACATGTTTTGTGGCATGGTGCGCTTGGAGGAAAAGTTAGGCCGACACTCCAGCCGATCTTCAGATACCAGCCGTCCACCGAACACCTGTCCCGCACTTGTCGGGCATTCCTGCGGTTCAGAATGCAGTCTGTCATACCCATGCCTGGTCTTCCAATTCGAAGGTGAAGCGATCCTGCAAAGCACAGATGATCACTCTTGGATACTGCGAGTCTTCGCACAGTAAGAAATCTGCCGCCAAGCGGTTCCGATTTCCGGCATTTTCCAGCGGCACGCACTGTTCAGTCTCGGCACACCCTGACTTGGAGTCTACCAGCAGCCACCATGATGCATTATGTTCGGGATGATAACTGACTGGTAGAATGCAGGGTTTACACGTCCGACTATGAGGATGCTTGTTATAGAGTTTGTTGCGGTTAACGGGGCGTTCCAGTCTAGGAGTGCCAGGTAGAACAAGTACAACAGACACACAAGGCCGAGTTCGACGCAGTCTCGAAGTTACACCGTCTGCGCAACGAGTGGGAGGTCAACACTTGGAGGTTCATGGGCAGTTATGAGAGTAGGGCAACTATACTGATAACCCATATTAGGGGACTTATAACCCCACTTATTACTACCCATGAACCTCCAAGCAACGGACGCCACGAGTCGAGTTGTATTATTCGCCGCTTTACACTACCGCCTTGAGAGGAAGCGTTCGGCTCTCATGGCAAGCCAACACCGGCCCTGGACAATCCGGCAGGCATCATGATCGGTGTCATGCAACTGGGGCTATTCCAGGACGAACGACAGAGAAAATGCATTATGTGCGATTTTCGCCGGCGAGATGCAGAATGCAATCATCACATCTTGTCCAACACGCATGGCTCCCTTCACTTTTCGTCGCGACTGCCTGCAAAAGCGACCTTGCACACCTTCTTGGACCTGCAGTCACGAAGCCAAGCGTGCGGTCTTGCCATCAATCGAGTAAACTCATACTTGTCTGTCGCACAAAATTTAAAGCGGGATTGCGAGCCACAGCTCTGTGGTGCTTTTCGTGCAGACTTGATGGTGAAGAGTAGGCCGAACTGTTGCGTGTTGGCCTCTCACATCGTCCGTTCAGGTGCGAACTGTTTTGGAGAATTTCGTCACACACGCACACACACACACACACACACACACACCCTGCAACTGTTCACTAAATTGACTAAATCACGAATGAGGCGGAACAGCCCGCATGAAAAAAACCTTGCTTGTAGTCGTCGGTAGAGCAGGTACTCGTCAATCAGAATAGGGGACACTACTATAGTACCCTAAGTAGTAGGATCCTTATTATAAGGACCCCCCAAATAAGGTACCAGGAGCTATTGCTGCTCATGGCTCTGGGTGGGTGCCCCTTGCTCCTTGGAGGTTCATGGCCAGTTGTACGTAGGGTTACGAGTAGGGCAATTAACCCAAATTAGGAGACGTATAACCCTACGAATAACAACCCATGAACCTCCAAGTAACCTTTCACAACCAGGCCTCCTGAGGGTCTTGCGGGCAACCCTTACCCTTTGCATCCAAGCCTCTCCGAACTGCAGGGAAACCTCAACCCCTAACTTAAAACTCCTAAACCCTGACCACTTCTTGACCCTAAACCCTAGCCCCTTTTGGACCCTAAACCCTAGCTAACTTCATGTCGCACATACCAGGTGACTTCTCCAGTGTGAACTTCGAGCTCCGACTTTTCGCACTTCCACAGCCGGAAGAAGAACACAACATGGGAGTTTCCGAAAGTACGGGACCCTTAGCACCCGAAATAGTAGGATCCTCATTATAAGGACCCCAAACTCCCACATCAAGATCATGAGGACGATGACGCTAGCAACAGTGATGATGACAGCAACCATATGTCACCATAGCCATGCTATGTAAAGTCTTCTGGCGAGGTACCAATAGTAAGTAGGACGAAGATGTCAACATTGGTAGTTTGTTGAAGGTGGACATGAAACAGCTTGCATATTCCAGAACCATATTGTACTAGACCTTGGGCAATCTCTCCTCGTCGGTCTCATCGAGAGCCAGCTGCTTCGAGGAGCCGTCCGGCCATTGGATTTCAAATCCTCTGACATATCTCTCATTTAGGCTTTCGGATTTAGGGTTTAAGGTCTAAGGGCCCAAAAGAGCCGTTTTTGGGGTTTGGAGGACATTGCGGCACTTTCGGGCTTTAAAGCTTGCGGCTTGGGGCTTAGGGTTCTCTCTCTCTGCCGTGCCATCATCAAGTGTCTCGCAATGCAAGGGCACGAAAAAGCAGGCCAGAATATCAGGAGGCATAGCGCGAACGCTGAACCTCCAGGGTTAGAGGTCCCCAAAATCCTCAACCCAAAACCCTACCCTTGAGCCCTGTTCGCGGGGTGCGAGGCCTTCGATGGTGGCCACGTGCTCGCCGTCTTCGCTCAGCCAGGATCCCTGAAAGACCTGGGTTTGGATGAGGATTTGGGGGTTTTGGGTTTAGGTTAAAGGCTTCTTCGTTGAACCGGACCGTTTTCCTCCTGGAAAGCTGAAGGTTTCGGGATTTATTTGGGGGGTTAGGGCTTATAAGGTGTAGGATTGAAGGTCAGGTGTGGAGGGCTTGCGGTTTGGGGAGCAGGGGCTGTGTAGCTGGGATCTCTTATTCTACGGGTTCTATATCATGGCAGCTGCTGCGTGATGCAATGCAGGGTCTGCGGAACTCTGAGCTGCACGCACCGACGAGCTTGTCCGACCTTAAATGGCGAAGCCCAGCACAGCCGACCAACAAATATGTCCGAAGCTACATTGTTTGCGATACGGACGTGGCAAGCTATCTGCGACAATGGGAACTAGCGGTGTGAGATACGGTAATACATGCACCAGGCCTGGGCAATGACACTACTGATGACAAAAACAGGACGATACTGATGTAGCAGTAGATGTTGTGGTAGGAGTGGAACTCGTCGCGGAAGTAGTAGTAATAGTAGTAGTAGTAGTAGTAGTAGTAGTAGCAGCAGCAGTCGTCGTCGTCGTCGCAGCAGTAGCAGTAGCAGTAGCAGTAGCGGTAGCAGTAGCAGCAGCAGCAGCAGTAGCAGACCATTACAGTAGCAGCAGCAGCAGCAGCAGTAACAGTACCATTACAGCAGCAGCAGCAGCAGCAGCAGCAGCAGCAGCAGCAGCAGCAGCAGCAGCACTGAGACTAGTAGCAGTGGCAGTAGGGCCAGTAGCAGCGGTATCGTGATGGTAGTAGCAGCGGCAGAAAGATCGTAGCGGTGGCCACAAAGATCGTAGCGGTGGCCGCGGCAGTGGCACCAGGATCAACAGAACCAAAGACTAAGACATTGCCAGTGACCGCAACGGCAACAAAAATGTTACTGTGAGAAGATACACTACCAGTAACGACGCTCATCACAACTACCTTGACAGGTCATAACAGCTTCAGAACAACATCTGCACAGCAAAGAACAGTCATCCGGAATCTTCTGGTGGATGCAACAGTAGCATCAGTAGTGTCGACAGCGACACTAAAAAAACAAAAACTCAACACCCAGGTAACTATGAAGATCATATATGGCAATAACCGTCACAAGACGACGAACACTAATCGTTACAATCAAAATGACGAGTGCAAGCGACTGCTCCATCAGGATCCCAATCGGGAGGAATCTCCACTTTGGCCTCGGGCGAAAGTGCCGGAAGTGTCAATCTCCTCTGCCGAAGATCTACTTAGTGCTCAGAACCTTACGAGGTTCGGGTTTCAGCACGGGGCTTTGAGGGTTTGCGGCTCATGGGCTTTCGGGCCTGCTGCCGCTTCTTTGGAGCATTGCAAGTACGTTCCCTTCACTGCGGCGAAGCAGGATCACAGGATCGACTGCGTGAGCGATTGATGCAACAGTCAAAGCTGAGGCACGGGCAGCTGGGAAGCTCAAACATAGTAGTGCACGGATGTGCCCATCAAATAAGCAGGACTGACACACCAAAGAAAAAGTTTACCAGCAGCACGACTGAACTTAGAGGGAAAGCAACATGCTTCTCGAACACCTGGAACCTTTCTTTCGGTTAAGACTTGCGCTTCATCTACACCTTGTTACAACAGCTCACTTGAGGCGGCAGCAACAAAGGGTAAAAGGGACGCGTCTGCAGGTTCTGTAATCGCGGAGGCTTGCACAGAATCTTGCAAATGCCTGGGTTGAAGCCTCAAGCTCTCAGGAAAACGATCGGCCTTTCAGTGTCTCGACTCCACTTCTACTTAGATTGAGACCCTCGTGCCAAGAGTTCAGGATTTAGGATTCTACGGTGTACGCAGGGGCTTAGCAGCTTCGGGTTTCAGTGCTCTTTGTGTGGCTTCCATCGCATCTTGCTTTCAACGGCATCGTGGGCTTGTGGCAGCATCATAATTCTTGAGCTACAAGCCCAAATCTCGGAACACCAACAAAAGCAGAGTCCTTTTCGGTGTTACACTCTGCCAAAAGTACCGGGGCCCTCCATTGGTGAATAGAAACATGAGCGGGACTTCGGCTGCCGGCTTTGGCTGCATGAATGACTGTGAATGACGTAATGTGAGTGTCTTCAAAACCAGACGAATAAGCTGCTAGAAAAAATGCATTCGCAAAGTATACCTTTTTCTATTGCATTGGGACTACTTGTGGATACGACTTATTTTTGCTCCTTTACACGTAGCAGCACCCCGGAGGTTACGATCCCGATGCCTAGGGACGAGCCCAATCCCCAAAGCCTGAACCCAGGCCTCTCATTGAAGAGCAGAGCTTAAGGCTTAGGCGACCCACAACAAAAAAGTGCTCACGAAGGCAAGACAAACCCGGTGAATAGCAAACCAAGTTTTGAAGCCTGGCTTTAGAAGCCCTGGCTAGAAACAGTCAAGCATCAGGTTCGTAGCTGCACCCGCCAGATCCAGCACAAGTACGATGATGCGCACCCTTCCTCCCTACGTGTGCCCTTCAGCTTGCCGTGTGCTCCCACACGCCGCTTCCCTGACCAGTTGGGTGCGCCCAGTGAAGCCTTTGCCTCTGCCGGTTTTGTTTAGGTGCTTGGTTGTAGCTCGTGTACGAGTACCCTCCACACGTACCGGTACTGCCTCTGTCCGCCGTCCTTTTCGTTCTGTGACGCTGCCCTTAGGCCTGGGCCCGTCGCTGCAGTGTCCGCCGTGCGGTATGTATTTTTGCATATACCTTTCTCTCAAAACTTCCAAGGTGCCTCTTGAGACCGTTGATATGTATCGTATTTGGTTCACTCTTGTTCTCCAATCGCGGCTAGATCACGGGCCCTATTGCTGCGGCACTCAGTGACCCAGTGTTTCGAAGTACGATAACCAGAACTTGCGACATGACGCTGGCCATACCCGTGGCAAAAGGACTGGCAAGCCCTCCGTGTGACATTTCTGTGACTTCTTCCTCGCGCTATGCCCCCCCCCCCAGCCCGACCCAGAATTCACAACAGGTCGGCGCAGTCCCAACATCGTTGCAGATCATCTTAACAAGAATTCTCGACACTCCCTTTCCCAACAACCTTCGCCTTGCACTGTAATGGAGCACGGCGCTGCAGAATGGCAGTCAGTTCTTTGGGGGAGGAGTTCAAGCCCTCTGCACCAAGTAAGAGGACTCTTTTTCCGCACGAAAGATTCTGCCACAAGTGTCTAAAACAAACGTTACACTGTGGCTACAGGACCGCACGGGATTGGAAGTTCAGATATCTCCTCTGTGTCGAATGAGGCATCGAGCGGGACTCCGGCTTTTGGCTTCGGCTGCGTGAAGAAGAGGAAGAAGGCGATGGAGTGCCTTAATGATTTGAATAGGTTGTCATGGGGGGGTACCAAAACTCTAAACTTACATTACACTCATGTGGGGACTATGAAGGGCTATTGAAACTATATTACCATCCGCACGTAGTCAGTAGCCACCCCTCAAGCTGAGTCCCCAAAGCCTGAACCCCGATGTTTGTTTGAAGAATGAAGGAGTCAAGATGAAGCACCACAACACAAGTACTCACGAAAACAAGGCAAAACCGATGAGTAGCAAACCAAGTCTTAACTGGTTCGGGAACCCCTACCGAGAAACATTCTCGTGGCCGAGCCACGAAACATCATGCGTCACGTTCGTAGTTGCACCCGGCCAATGTGTAACGATGATGGCCAAGATTATCTTCGGCAAAACGCTGGCACCACCCGTCGCAGTACGTCTTGCAGTCGCTAAGGGTGTCCTTCGCCTGTGACCAAAACTTCTTAATCATTCCACCGGCCACACATTCGCAGACAAATCCTCCTCCGGCTCCACCCGTCTGCACAGTCCCAACGTCGTTGTTGATCACCTGACCAAAAATTCTCATCGCACCCCCTCATCCCCCTCCTAATTAACAATACAATGCCCAAATCGGACCTGTCCCACCTAGACCTGTGTGCGGATTCATTTTTCGGGGTCCATGCCTGGCGAACCGCGCCGCAGATGCCCATCAGCACCAACAACAGCCGAAGAAACATGGCTCCGATGGATTTGAAAGAACACGGCAAAAGGCGATGTGGTCACATGTTGGCTAGCAGCCGAATGGGCTGCGATGCCAACGGTCAAGATTTCCAGCAGTGCAACAGCAAATGTTGATGTTGAACCCATGTGAACCCTGAAACCGTACCTTCGCAGGCTATGGAACGCGTAAAAACTGGGACCCTGCCACCCTGACCCAGGGATACCCAGGCCAGCCCCCCGGGGTTCAGGTCTCATGGATTCTCAGGGTTTAATGTTTAGGGTAGAAGGGCACGGTTGAGGGTGAAGAGTTTAGGGTTTTACGGCTGTTATGTACGGGTTGAGAGCACGGCGCTGCAGAATGGCAGTCGGTTCTTTGCGAGGAGTTCAGGCCGTTCAGGCCCTCAGACTCTGCACCAGTAAGAAGACTCTTTTTCGTCAAGGTGCGACTCTGCCACAAGTGTCCAAAGCAAAGGTTACAGTGTGGCAACAGGACCGCACAGGACTGGAAGCTCAGGTATCTCCTCCGATGAAGCACAGAGAGGAACTCCGGCTGTTGGCTTCGGCTGCATGAAGAACGTGATGGAAGGCCTCACTGATTTGAGTAGGTTATACTGAAACTCTAGAAGTACATTACAGAGCACGGCAAGACAGGGTACCGATATAACGACCCGCATGTAGCCAGTAGCCCCTGACGTCACGATCCCAATATTTCAAGGAAGCGGGCTCCTCAAGCTGAGTCCCTGCCTGAACCCAGGCCTCCCGTGCAGAGAATTCTTTGAAGACTCAAGGATTAGGGCATGATTAGGGCTTAACCACCACAACACAAGTGCCCACGAAGACAACCCAAAACCGGTCGATGGCAAAGCAAATCCTCGCTGCTTCGGGAAGACCCTGTTAGAAACATTCTCGTAGCCGAGCCACGAAATGTCAGGCGTCACTTCGGTAGCTGCACCCGCCCGATGCTTTGCTATAGCCATAATTTTCGGCAAAACGCTTGCACCGGTTGTTGCAATACGACGTGCATTCGCCATCAGTTTCTTTTGCATGTGACCAATACATCTTACTGATTCCACCGGACCAGCATTCGCAAACCCATCCTCCTCCGGCTCCACCCGTCTGCATAGTCCCAACGTCGTTGCTGGTCACCTAATCATAAACTCTCAACACACTCCTTTCCTATTAACCTTCGTCTTGCAATACAATGCCCAAATCGGACCTGTCCCACCTAGACCTTTGTATGGATTCATTTTTCGAGGTCCATGCCTGGCGAACCGCGCCGCAGATGCCCATCAGCACCAACAACAGCCGAAGAAACATGGCTCCAATGGATTTGAAAGAACACGGCAAAGGGTGACGTTGTCGAAAGCCAAATGAACTGCGATACCATCGGTCACAACTTCCAGCAGTGCAACAACGGCACTGATGTTGAACCAGAAAATCCTTGAAACCTAACCGCGAGGCCCCATCAGTGTCTTTGAAGAATCCGTACAAATTGGAACCTTACCACCCTGACCCAGGCCTGTCCGATTGCAGGCTTCAGGGTTTAGAGCTTAAGGCTCCTTGGGAGAGTTTCCAACCCTCTGCACCAGCCCGAAAAATCCTTTCACGGCAAAGCGGGACTCTGCCACAGGTGTCCAAAGCAAAACACCTCACGAATCGGATTTTGCAACGTCTCCCTTCCAATGCACCCAATGCTCGATCGTATCGCTATGCTCCACTTTCTCGTCAAGGGCCAAATGTTTGTTGGTTCCACGTGCTGTGTGTACCAATCGAAGGGCGATTGATGTCTTCAGTAGGACCCAATCTTAAACACGCCCCCTCTTTTGTCGATTCCACTTCATCATACATCTCAAACACGCCTTCTCGGTTGGCGATTCTGGCACCCCATACTGACTAATCGGCAGCTGTAACGTCATATCAACTGCCCGAATCACTTCAGAGATGTACAGAGTACTATAAAGCATTGACGGACCGACGAACGAATTGACAGCTCGATTGGCAGACAGACTGACTGACTGACTCACTCACTCTAACTGACTGCCTGACCGCTCGGTTGACTGACCGACTGACTGAGTGACTGCTCGGTTGGCTGACCGACTGACCGACTGACTGACTGACTGGCAAACTGACCGACCGAAAATACCCAAAAAGAACCCCCAACCGGCCCC